GCCTTTGATGCCGAGCGCGGCTGACAGCCCGGCCAGGGCGGCCGCGGCCGGGGGCTGGGGGAGCTCTGCTCGGCAGAACCATTAATGCCAACTCCCATAACAATAATCATAAAAGCCACGTCTCAGAGCTCCTCGCGCGGCCACTAAAGCGATGCCTCTGGCAGCCCCCCCCGTCTAGCAGCAATACCTGGGGGGGCAATCGAAAAGTCTCTGCTTATTCCAGCTGATGGCCAATCTCTCTCTATTTAAGCCTCTCAGACAGCTAATCTAATCAATATTGCAAGGAGGGCTGCATTAGCAGGGAGCAGGCTGGCTGCGCTGATGCAGCGGCAGATGGGGGGCTCCTGTCCCCCCCCAGCCCACCTGAGGAAGCGGTTGAGGTCGCCGTGTTTCATGTACTCAAAGACCATGATGAGGGGCTCGCCCTCGGTGCATACGCCGTAGAACTTGACGATGTGCTCGTGCTGCAGCACCGTCAGCAGCTCGGCTTCACGCTGGAAATCCAGGCGGGCGCTTTCCGTCATCTCCTTCAGCGCCTGCCGGGACACGGCATCAGTGACAGCCCCACGGATCCCCCCATCCCCACGTTGTGCCCCCTCCTCACCTTCACAGCCACCAGCATCTTCTCCTGCTCTGGGAGGAGGTTGTAGCACTCGGCCAAGAAAACCTTCCCAAAGGCGCCCTCGCCCAGCTCCCACTTCAGCACGATGTCCCGCCGCTGCACGTGGTGCACGCCTGGGGGGACCCCCACCCGTCAGTGCAGCCCGGGTCGGGTATGAGCCTGGGGGGATCCTCGGGGACCACAGTCCCCAGCCCAACCCTTACAGGCGTTGCAGAAGTACTGGGGGTTCTCGATGAAGTTGCTCTTCAGCCCCTCCAGTTTGCTCTCCGCCGAGGAAAGGGGGCTGCTGCCCAGGTTCATGAAGTGCAGGGACATGGCCAGGTCATCCTCTTGGGCCAGCACCGCTGAGCCTTGTGGGGACAAGGACAAGGCCATCAGGGGGTCCCCCAGCCCCCCCAGCCTGTGCAGCCAGTGCCAGGCTCTGCCGAGCAAGCCCCTGCTTGAACGCCCCCGGGGGCCAGGCAGCCCGATCAAAACCATTTAGAGGCTGAATCCATTCCAGGAGTGAATTAGCAGCTGCTGCCCGCGCTCCCAGGGGAGCCAGCACCCCTCCACGGGTGACCCCCCACCCTCGGTCCCCACCCGCAGTCCCTCTTGCCACACCTGTGACCCAACCCAGGCGCCCACAGCCCCGGCTGCCCCAGGGATGTGGGGACAGGGCTGTCCCTGTGTCCCAGCCCGAATATCGAGCCACCAGGCTGGGGGAACTCACGGTTAATGCCAAACTTGGACCGGCGCCCGCACTTGTTGAGCAGGATGAGCATGACAGAGAGGGAAAGGCAGGCGAACACAGCCAGCGCCACAGCCACTGAGACCTGCTGGCAGCGAGGACAGGCCTCAGGTCCAGTTCCCACCAGGTCCCTTTTCTCAGCCCGTGGGATGGGAACAAACCCTTGAGATGGTTACAAGCCCCAGGCACTCTGTCCTCCATCCCCATCATGGACCCCTCTCCCACCCGGTACTGGTTTGGCTGTTCCCTAGGGTTTTGTCCCACCCTCTTGCAGGTGTCCTGGTCCTGCCATTCCAGACTGCAGAGCATCTCCTCACCCCAAACGTGTGCTCATCCATTGTCTCCACAGGCCCCTCCAGCGAGCTGTTCCTGGTGCCTGGGGCAGGGAGAAGGTGTAGGCTGAGTGTGGGGTCCCCATCCCCTGAGGTGGCCCTGACAAGGACCTGGACACCCCAGGATCAGCCCTGGGGGATGGGTGGAATGCCCAGTTTAGCGGGGCTGGGGCAGCAATCCCGGCCACTCACCCAGTGGGGACAGAGACACTGGAGCAGCCCAATGGGAGAGAAAGGAGAAACACTTGTTATTCCTCAGAAGGGAACACCCCATCCCTCCCCTTCTCATCCTTGGGGAAACTGAGGCACACCAGGGCTTGCACAGACAACAGGCAGAGCCCAGTACACCCCGTTCTGCACACCAGGTGTGGCACAGCTCCTCCGTTGGACAGGCAGCCCCCGCCTGGCACCTACCGGGGATGGGCTCCTCAGGGCTGAAGCTGAAGGGATTGTCCATGAAGCGCCCCTGGACGCTGCTCGCAGCCGAGCCCAGGGTGTTGCGGACCACGAGGGTGTAGTTGCCGTTGTTGACATGGGTGGGACGGTTGAGCTGGAGGCAGCCGTGGAGGACGCTGGAGTTGTGCTCGTACTCCATGATGAGGGTGTGGATGTAGAGCCCCTCGACCAGGGTCGTGCCGTTGAAGAGCCAGTGGATGCTGGGCATGGGGTTGCCTTTCACGGAGAAGGGGATGCACCAGGAATGCCTGGGGATGGCTTTGTCTAGCAGCAGGATCTCGGGGGGAACTGGGAGACAGAGCTGGGTGGGTTCCTGAGCCAAACCCCTGACCCCACCCCAGCCCCTTGTGGATGGCTCACAGGTGACGTTCAGCATCACGCTGTCCTCTGCCGGCCCCGCTGCGTTCTCTGCCCGGCACGTCAAGTCCTTGTGGTTGAGGTCAGAGGAGACATTGCTGATCTCCAGGACAATCTCCCAGTCTGAGAGCTGCAGGGAGCCCCGGGATGGGATGAGCAGATGAAACCCCCAAGCCTGGCCAGCTCCTGCATCCCCCCCATACCCACCCCACCAG